GAATTTAGGGCCTGGATACTGCCCTAAGCTGCTTTTGCTCAAGGTTATCACCCTACCACTTGAGTCACAGCGCCACTTCCAGCTTTTTCTGTTTATGTGGTATTGAGGAATTGAACTCAGGACTTTGTTCATTCTAGTCAAGCACTATACCACTAAGCTACATTCCCAGGCCCATAATAATTGTGTTTTGTTTTTCATCATGGGGCTTGAACTCTGGACCTGGGCACTGTCCCTCAGCTCTTCAACTCAAAGCTAGAGCTCTACCACTTGAGCCACAGCACCACTTCTAGTTTTCTGGTGGCTTATCGAAGAGTTTCATAGCTTTTTCTGCCCAAGCTGGCTTTGAACTGTGATCCTCAAATCTCAGCCTCTTCAATAGCTAGGATTACAGGGGTGAGCCACTAGTGCCCAGCTTCATAATAAAATTTTTAAAGATAGATTCTGAGCAAAACCTTGCTTCTCCCATCCTCAGCCTCCTCTATGGGTTGCCATTTTCAGTAGTTTGTGTACTATTGCTTATTGCAAGGTAGGAAGGCAAATATGTACATACATCTCAAACACCTCTTCTTTTTCAATTAGGAAGAAATATGTTCTGTAGAACAACTATCCCCGACTTGCTGGCCTCCTGGACAGAGCTCTTGCAATTTTCACATTGGAAGTCTGCCACCCTTGCCAACTCTCTCTCTGTCTTTGGAGATTAAAGGCAGTCTTCCTGCTAGATGGCAGAATTTCCATAAGCCCTAAATACAGGATTCCTGCCTACCACCAGATCATCTTTAACAGGCCCATGAAAATCCCTGAACTCCCAATGCTGACAACTCTGATGAGCAGGCAGGCTGTATTTCCTCAGTTGGCCATTGTGGAGAAATCGTCTTCATACAAGCAGCTTGGTCTGTGGAGTCCCTTTACCTGCTCAGATCATTGCAGGCAGTTGCTTTTATAGGTACCACTACAACAGCCATCATTCATGGAGGAAAAAACAACCCATCATGAGCCAGACACATGAGGCTTATGTCTGTCATTCTAGCTACTGAGAGGATTTGAGGATTGAAGTTCAAAGCCAGCCCAGAAAGACAAATCTCAATTCATCCCCAAGTTAGGCACTAGTGGCTCAAGGCTATAATCTTAGCTACTCAGGAGGCTGAGGCTAATGGTTTGAACCCAGCCCACGCAGGAAATTCTTCGAGACTCTTATCTCTAATTAGTCACCAAAGACCTAGAAGTGGAACTGTGGTTCAAATGGTACAGCAAAAAGTATACGGACAGTGCCCAGGCCACGAGTTCAAACCCAAGGAACAGCACCATTCCCAAGGAGAAAAAAACGTGTGTATGTATATATATATGTATATATGTACGTGTACATATACACACATATGCATATTCGTACATATTAATAGCTATTCACCAACTGCTTAATAAATTCTTGGTAAATAGACCCTTGTATGAACACATAAGGAAGAAAAGGGATTAACTGACTTATCTTGGATCAAGATAAACAAGATGTGAGATATATGTACATATATGCACAAAGGTGATTCTAACTACAGAATTTAGAAAAGTAAGAGTGTAAGTAATTTTAAAATACATTTTGTGGGCTGGGAAGGTGGCTCACTGGTAGAGCGCTTGCCTTGCATACATGAGGCCCTGGGTTCGATTCCTCAGCACCACATAAGCAAAAAGAAAAAAGCCAGAAGTAGCGCTGTGGCTCAAGTGGTAGAGCACTAGCCTTGAGCTGAAGAGCTGAGGGACAGCGCCCAGGCCCAGAGTTCAGGCCCCA